TCAACTAGTTAAAAAGTTATCAACTAATTGATTTTTTAATTAACAATTTGAATCATTAGACAAAACTTTTAATTAGATAATAACTAAAGTTATATATATGACTAGTTGTACTTTTATTGATAAACTATTGTATATAAATATGTAATCATATATTATTTAATAAAAACATACAGACAAGATTGTTGCTTTAAACTGAAAAAAAATTTTATTTATAAAACTACTTTTTATATTCTAATAAAAAAAACTCTTTATAAAATTTTAGTATAAGTTATATATTTTTTTATTTTCAATTCTAACTCTAAAGATAATACTTAGTATTTGAAATTTTTTTATTTAATTTAATTGTTTTAATTTTATATTATATTTAATTTATTAATTTAATTGATAAAATCATATACTAAAAAAAATTTTATAGATGAGTTACCAATATTTAAAAATAGGAATTTTGCATTATATACATCAAATTATTCAAAACATAATGTTATATAATATAATATAATAAGGATGTAGCAATCTAGTGAAGTGGTCAAGTTGTCAATCTCCAAATGGCAGGTTTAAAGTTCAAATCTTATAGATAATAAATTTTGAAAAATAGGTCTGTATTATAATAACTGTCTCTGTTAATTAGTTGAATTAGTGTATCTGTAATCTTTGTTGCACTATCTTAAATGGAAGCTTAGGGCATCTATGCAAAATGTAACATTACATCTATATAAAGGAATGGCAATAACCAGTGTTGCATAAGACTTCAGTACAAACTCATAATAAGACCACCAGATTCAGAAAGCAAAAGAACTAAAAGTTAAAAATCTATTTAAAAATTCTAAGTAAAAAGGTAGCATAGACTTTTGACAGTAATACTGAACTATCAGAAGGCCCCAAAAAAGAATTACTAAAATAATTAGGATGGATTGGACAACAACATATATAGAGAAGCATATACCAACCAGCCTACTGAGTTTACTAGAGGAAATGGATCTTAGGATACCATACCAAACTATTTGGATTGGTAGTTTTTAAAGTCTTATAGATTTTGTAAATTTAGAAGTAGAGGATAAAAGTTAGGAAAAAAAGGTATTAGAGTCCTAGTGAACTTTACAAAAGTATAGCAGTTTAATAGTTAATCCTGATTGCAAATAATGATCTAGGCCAGAGCAGTACTGAATTAGCTATAAGTATGGATTATAGAAAACTTTAATGAGCTTAGTATAAAGTTAAACATGACTTAGTGACTATAGTATATTTGCAGAAATTTTGTAGTTGATAAGGTAAAGGTAAATATAAAAACTAAAGTATTTAAATAGAAAACTTACAAGCAGGTTCTAGATATGGCAACTAGTATAAAACCTTTGGACAGACTACTTAAAATAGACAATAACTAAAATTGTATAAGTAACTAGTTGTATACTCTTCTTATGATTGTTTCTGTAGCTGTTATATACAATAGTTATATGTCAAATAATTATCAATAAACTTCTAGATCACAATTACTTACTTTAATATTAAAAAAAAATATATATATAATGTAATTATTTTAAAATTTAAAAATATAAAAAAATATGGTAATATAATAAAGTAATCATATTGTTATTCTAAATAACAGATCTAAAGTTCAAATTCTAGTGTTGATGCAAATTTAAAAATTCTTTTTGTATTATAATTAACTGTTTTTTGTTATTGATTGAGATAAGCTATCTGTTATCTGTATTATATTAATATAACTAAAAAATTATATAGTATTTATATAATATTATAGTATACTATTGCACAAAGAAATACAAATCAGTATTAGATAGTGTAAATTTATAATAAATTCTCATGACTATATAAATCATAGAAACTAAAAAAAACAAAAACATTTAAAAAACCAAAATAAAAAAATAATCTGAACTTTTGATAATATTATTATAAAAACTAAATCTAAAAACAGAACTAGAACTTATAAAACTAAATAAAGTATTGGTTTTTGAAAAAAGATCATCAGATCATTAGAACCCTCTAAAGAAAAAAATTGCATACTAAAAAACATATAAATCAAAAATATAATTTTATTTATCTTTTTGAACTATCTGAACTAAAAATTTAATAAAATTTAAATTAAATATCAAAGTAATAAGAATATATTGTGAAGTAAGTACTGAGATTTGGATAAATTCTATAAGGGTATAGTGACTTAATAGTTAGTCCTAACTGCAAATATTAGTTTCAACTATAACATTATCAGATTAGCTGTAAAAATAATATATAGAAGATTCTGAAAAATTTAGTACAAAGTTAAAGGTTCCTCATATAAGTGAACTAGTTTAAAGACTTAGTAACCATAACATATTTGTACTGATATTGACTGCTAGTTTTAAAAAAAAAAAAACCTTTAAACACTAGTAAGTTTGTAATAATAATATCCTGATCCGTTGGGAGTTAGCAGAAACGAAGTTTACATACGGTCAGAGATTATTAATTAATCCTCCCGTAATCTTGATATAGTGATCGGGGGATTAGTAAATAATATCCAGAAATTAAACTAACAACCTTTTAATTATTAAATAAACCTAAAAAACAAAATTTATCCATAAATTTAAGTGTATTGATCATTTGGCATATTAAATTTTACATATATCGTGTATCTATTAACTAGAGCATTTTCACATGATCATTGCACTTGCATTACGAAAATTTTGGTAGCATTACTATACTTTATGTGCCAGCTTTATGACAGTTTTGACCAACGTTATTCGTAATTTCCGCTCTATAGATTAAAGATACTCTACTGATAATTTTAGCATTATAAATTCAATATTAAACTTTTATTTAGTGTGATTCGTTAGTGCAAAACATATACGTATATATCAAATATCAAATTACAATAGGTGTTTCAGAAATTATGATAACAGCTGTAATAACCGGGTGGAATTTTAAAAATTTTATATATGAAAATTAAAAAAAAACCGGCCGGCGGGGTCTGTTTAAAAGTTTTATGTGATCGTTATAAAAACCAAGATATTATATTTGTATGACCTTAGATATAAAAAAATTTGCCTACTAACTACTGACGGTTTAAAGGATATGAAATAAAAGGCAAGTCAACTTTGTATAACATTTATTGGTGTCCAATAATTTTTATCGATTGGTGGTGGATCGACAGCTCGACATCAAATTTTGAAGTATCCATTCGCTTTACATGAATAAAAAGATCATTTATATGATTGTTTGAACGTAATCCAGTGATTAGAAACGAATGTTCTTTATATCCTTCGATTCATATATTAAATGGCATAAGAATCATTAAACTCTATTCGATAAAGCCCATGTTAACTTCGATATGTGATCTGCCACTTTATCCGCCATGCCATATTATATCTTACAGAAGTCAAAATTTTATTCAATAATCAATATTAGCATATTAAATAAAGTTATTCAGAGGATCAAAAATATATGTTTTCTAAAAGCTTGATACAAATTAACTTTTTATTAATATATTTTTTATTTTTTCTTACAAAAGATTGAGAACCGGGTTTTAAACCTAAACTAACTTTCCCTACTGCTTATTCATCGCCAACCTTAGGAGCAAGGTAATATCGAATATAGCCGATGTCCATCTTATATTCTACAAGTAGTGGCATGTTATCAGATAAACAAAGCATGACTTGCTCAGACAAAGGAGTACCTCTTGTGAAATTCGTTAGGTATTTAAGAGAGAATTGAAGAGAAACAGTTTGACCTAATTCGATTGTGATAGATTCCTCAGGCTAAAGATATGTATTTAATAAATAAATTGAGAATACAAGAGCATAACAAAACAAAAAGAGAACAAATAAATCATGTAAGTACAAACTAACCTTGTCGATAGAAGAAGTCGGTTTCAATTTTACATTGCCGGTTCCTAATTCACCTTCCGCAGTAAACCTTATCTCATCTTTTGAAATATCAATGGTTACTGGAATGATTGATTAAATGATTAATTGAATAAATCAATATTAGGCGATGACAACGCGTGAATATAGAAGGTTATGATACCTGATTCACTAACAACCATCAAATCACGACAAATTCTTTGGAATTCAGCCGAAGGCATAAGGATGGTAGCATCATAATCTGTTTCAGGAATGCTGAGGTGCTCTTGATCGATATCCATTAATTTCAATTCATATTCACTGACTCTCTCGTTAACTTTATAAATTCGATATAGCATAATTAATTAATAAATTTCAATAATTTCATAACTTGATTAAATTATAAGTTTACCTGGACTTTCAAACACTAAACACAAGCTATCTGCAGAACTATCATCTGCTTTAAGCGTAATAATATCATCATTTCCAGCACATTTCATTATTTTATTTAAGGAGTTTAAATTTACACCCAAAGAAAACCCTCGGTCACAACGATACGGATTAAAACCTTCGGAGCGAAGCGATAGCGATACCAACGCGACGTGAGAGTTATCCATAGCCTGTAGAGAGATACCTGTTTCACTACAGTCAAAGTTCGCGTCGGTTACGAGCTCTTTGACTGAGTCGAGTAACCTTTTAAGCAAGGCTCCTTGGGTCAAACGTGCTTCAAACATTTTTTCTTGAAGGAAAATTTGAAAAGAAAAAAATTATTTTTAATGAAAAAAGAGACGTGTCGCAATAAAGGCCAGAAAAGTGGATTGATGAAAATCCTATTTATATTGTCCCTGAAAATATACCCTTTTTTAAATATATTGCGTGTTACCTCGTGTAACAAGATTAATCAACCAAAAACGTGCAACAAGTTTGTTAGACAAAAAAAACCAGCGAGTTTACTTTCCTTTTAAGAGTATTTAACTCAAATTTTTTAAACATTTTAGGTTGCGATTGAACTTTAGAATTTAGATAATAAATAAAACCGAATACATTATATAAAAAAGATAATTAAACATATTTGTCACTATATCAAATATAGATTCATTTATTGATTTTTTTTTTTTTTTACAGGCTATTAAAAGCTAAAAAGTCTTTGATATTTACTATACATAACGATTATATTTGAATTTGTGAAGTTGTGTCTTTTGTTATTATTGGTTCAAGTTTTATATTAGTTGTTTGAATATCATCTACTTCAACATCGGTGGTATTACCGCTACCACCATTTTCTTCATCGTTTATACAAGTTGTTTCACTACGATTACTAGAACTTCTTGTCATACTAACTGAACTCAATTTACTTTTAGCATTTTCAACTGTTAAAGTTTCTTTCTTTTTCTTTTCTTCATCTTCAGTTTTATTAACCTTGGTTTCCTCAGATTTAACCTCATCATTTTTGGTTGCTTCAGATTTGGTTTCTTCGGATTTAATTCCCTCAGTTTTAGTTTCTTCTGATTTAACCCCGTCTGCTTTGGTCTCTCCAGATTTAGTTTCTTCAGATTTAGTTGCTTCGGATTTAGTTTCTTCAGACTTAGTTTCTTCAGACTTAGTTTCTTCAGATTTAGTTTCCTCATTTTCGGCTTGTTTAGAAGCAGCTTCAATTCGGCGTGCTTCTTCTTCCATCTGTTTTGCAATGTCTTCAGGTTTCATACCTTTATATTTCTCAACCAATTCCAAAACTTTTTCAGGGATATGACTGATTTCATTTCTGTACAACACCATAGTCATCATAACTTCACAAGGAGGTAATAAATTTTCTGGAATTTTTTGTAAAACATTTTCAGGAAATTCTGCTTTTTGATTTTCAACGATACTGCGATACATTTTTCTTATTTGATAATGTGTACAATATTCGAGATTCAAATGTACATCCATACGACCAGGGCGGATGCTTTAATTTAAAAATTCGAAATTAATAAATTAAATGTTAATAATTATATGAAATAATAATCGTTATCATTATGTTAATTATATCGACATGTATACTAACCAAGCAGGATCCAGATGTTCAACGTGATTTGTGGTCATAATTATTATATTACCTTCAGATAATATATGACCATCTAAACATCCGAGGAAATTTGATAAACTAATCATCGAAAATCCTGATCCACTTCCTTTACCCCCTTTATTATTGTCATTGGATGAAATTCCTTTGGAATATTTATCATCATCATCACTACGTCTTTTGTGAAGAATTTTTGATTGTGCATCAACATCTTCGAGGACAATTATTTGATTAGATGGTACTGAACTAAATGCTGCACTCATTTCATTATCACTTATTATATTTTTAAGATTAATATAATAAAGGTCTCGTGATAAATGTGAAGATATTGCGTTTATCAAACTGGTTTTTCCCGTTCCTGGTCTTCCAAATAAAATAAATCCACGTCTATAAGGCATGCCAATCCTTCCATAGAATTCTTTATCATTAACAAATGTATCCAATTCTTTTTTCAATAATTGTTCTTGTTTTTCATCTAAAGCTACCGTTTCCAATCCTCTAATCGATGATAAACTTTGTACTCTATACCAATATCCGTCAGTACGTTCGTATCTCGCACGTATTTTATCCTTTTGTTGTGTTTCAAGGTATGACCGTGTCACATCATTGATAAATTCGGAAATTGAATCTACATTAGTTTTTGAATCTTCAGTTGTTGTTAAATAAATTGAAGGCATTGCTTTTGTTGAAGAAGCACCAGAATAACTATTGTTATTATTGTTATTATTAGAATTTTCTGAATTCTCCCCTTCTGGCATATTAAATGTGACATTAAATTTGCGACCATTATATTTAATACTAATTTGTTGATTCTTTTCGGGAAGGATGTTAAAAGCAGGTGGTGCACATTCATCATCCTCATCTTCTTGAGAAACCGTATCATTAGTGGGTTGAACAATGAATGATCCTTTATCCAATTTTTTGGTTTGTTTGGAAATGAGCCATGACAAAGCTTCGTAAAATGTGCTAGTATATTGATCTCCATATGTACCTAAAAGGTGGGATTTGTAAATCAATATCAAATATATAACGATAAAATATATATATACATCTATATTCTTTCTTTTTTTTCTTTACTTACCAGTAACATAATACTCGACTTGTACGGTTACTAAATTTCTATTCCAAACTGAACCTGTAAGAAATGTTTGTGACATAGCATATAATGCTGCACACAATACAGTAAGTCCCGAAGCTATGACTGTGGTTACAAACATGTCTACTGCCATTATTCCAGATAGATATGGTCCTATCTTTGATGGAAGCCATGCTAATAGAACCGTTTGTACCTGTCCTTGATTAAACAGGTCCAAAAAAGGTTGAAAAATTGCAGTATAATCAGTCATGATTTTTGATTGAAACTAAAAAATATATATATAGGAGTATAGGTATGTATAAGGATTTTTATTATTACAAGAGTAGAAAAAAATTTTATCTTGTTTTTCAATGTTTTGAAAAAAGAGGATGTTGGTTAATGAGCGCTTCAAATTCTATCTTTTATAAATTTTTTTCCTCGTTAAATAGTATTATAAACCATTATTGTCATCATATTACCGGCCGAACGAACTGCCAAGAAGAAAATTAGATCAACCGCAGTTGGCACATACATGTAACCTAATCGGAAATTAAGGTGCGCTGCGCTGTCACTTTTTTGACTGCGGTTTTCCATTTTCGTCATTATTACAGATATGTCCTGTGTCGCAAGATACTTGCGGCAGGACAAACACTATGATTTAATAGATGAAAATTACGCCATTTGTAGTACGTATCATATCGATATTGTTCCTCACGAATAGAAAACCTTTTAATAACAGACAATCATGTATTAAGTATGTAAATGTATGTACGTTTTCTTTTCATGCGCAGTATGCTTAAAGTAACGATTTGTTAATTAATTTCATTGATAGGAATATTCTTTCCACCACGTTATTATTGTGTAATTTAGCACAAACTGCAATGTTTTATGAGTCAAAGTTTGATCAATTATAATCACACAAATAATTGTAAAAAAGACAAAAAAAAAACTGGAAAATAATGTCCAATTATGTCAAGCATCTTAAAATAGGATGAAAACAACAAAGTTAATTCGATATAGAATTAAAATAAACAATTTCAACCGAATTTGATTATCGTTACAGTATGTGGTTTTCGTATGTAATATCGCTACGTAGAACTATTTTAGACTCTAGGAATAGTTAGCAGAAAAGTAGTGTATGCATATATGTGCGTACGTACTATATTATATTTGGTATAGTGGTTTTTCTTTGACCAAGTTATAAAAAAAGTAACAATCATGCTTCGTGGCGATCTGTCAAAGAATCACAAAAAGGCAATTAACCTCTAACTGTACCCAAAGGCCGAGTCAATATTTTGCCTATTTAATGTGTGCTAAAAAAAACACCGTCGGACAATTGCCCTATGTGTTTCATTAATGCAACACATAGGGGCAATTGTCTGACGGTGTTTTTTTTAGCACACATTAAATAGGCAAAATATTCAAAATATTGACTCAGCCTTTGGGTACAGCACACGTTAAATAGGCAAAGTACTGACTCAGCCTTTGGGTACAGGTGTTTCATGACGGAAATACAAAGGTCCGACAACAAATACAGAAATAGGGGCAAAAACGCTTATCATTATCCAATCATAAAATTATGCCATGAAAGTACTTCAAAACAAATGGTCAATATTTAATCTGCATTATAAAACCTGTTCGTAGATATCAAATTACCCATATCTTTAAAATTTTCAAATTGCCATATCTTTAAAAATTATTATCATGCAAAGCTCATACGCGTCTATAGAGATAGGCCATAGGGATAGTCGTGAAAGGTCAACTTCACTTACTACTGGTTCATCCGCTTATCTACCTGCTTCTTTGGTGCAAAACATACTCGGTTGTCAAGCTCAGGCTTTAGAAGGTTTGTTTTTAAAGAAATCAAACGCGCAAAATATTTACATTTCAATTCGATCTTTGATAAGTTGACATTTTGGGGGCAATTTAACAATTTTGACGGTAATCATTATTATTTTTTTTGTTTCAAAGCTATATCCGACCAAGCTAAGGCTAACAAAGTCATACAACAAGAGAATTCCGCTCTTAGGCAACGTATCGAACATTTAGAAAATCAATTGTGGTCTCTGAAAAAAAAAAAATCACTACGAAACATAGATAATGGTGATGATATTATCTCGGAGGATATAGATGTTGACAAAAAACTTGATGTTATGGAAATTGAAAAGGAAAATTATGATGAGTAAGATATATAAATTATTTATGTATTGTTTAAAAAACAATTAAAATAATTTATATTATTAATAATTTCATTAAATATTAAAATTTAAAATATAGCTTTCCCGCTCCTGTATTAACAGCTGTTAATACATGTGCTAATGAACAATCTCCTTCCTCGGCGAGTAATAATAACCTCTCCCAAATTATTCAAGAATTGGAAAAGTAATCATTATTTTGTATTTTGTATGCGTGTTATAACAGTATTTATATCATATCTAAACAATGCATTCACGTGATGTTTTTAGAAAACATCAAAAAGAACTTGATAATTCGAATAAAGAGTGGAGCGAAAAATATTCCGAACTCCAAAAAAAATATGATCAACAATTGAAAGACTATCAAGCTTTAAAAGACCATTACCAGAAAAGATCCTCTGAATGGAAGCTTACAAGGCAATGGCTTGAAGACGCCAAAAGACGTCAACGAGCTCAAAAAGGAAAATCGGATAATAATCAAAAAGCATCAGCTCCAAATACGAGCAAAGTTTTATCTAGTGGTAGTAGTTCAAGCGTGACAGATCAAACCAATCTAGATCATGATAATGCCGAAATTCTAAAACGACAAAAGGATGTCGACTTTGGTCCACTTGATGGTACAAACGCCGAATATCCACTTGATGGTACAAACGCCGAACATCCAATTGATGGTATAAACGCCGAACATCAAATTGATGGTACAAACGCCGAACATCCAATTGATATTGATGATTATGACGATAATTTATTTCTTTCTGAGGATGATGACCAATCTCCGAGTAAGAAAAGACCTGCTGATGTGGTTATTAAACAAGAACAGGATGATTCTAATATACTCCCGTCATTGGAAAATAAACCACATAAACGATGGAAACATTCATCTAGTAGAAAGGATCGGTACTCATCGGACAATGATATAGTTAATACCCCACATAAAGACTATCTTGATCCTCTCATAGATGATAATGCGAACAATCAGCCGGCTGCTTCGGAAAGAATCAGTAATGATGGCGAAGATGGTCCTATGCTACTCACCCCAATTACTCCGCATAACATTAAAAATAAAAATACGTCGCATCGTTCTGCTTTCAGTCCTAATTTAGCAGAAACTACTATTAGGTTTAATGAGACTGTACGAAAACAGAGTGAACGTCGGCAGTTACAGGGTGAAGATTGTCGTGATTGTCGTCGAGTAAGTGATCATGGTTGATTATATATATATATATATTCGCGATGCTATTTTTATTTATAATTATTATTTGGTTTCAGTATTATGAAATAACAGGTCCAATGCCAATTCCCGATGCTACTGGATTAAATCGTTGTGGACATACGAATCAAGAACAAAGTGCAGAATTACTAATGGAAGCTCGATTACAATATACTTCTAAACATCGAACAAAGTATAGTCGAGCACCTACTCCTCCTGGATTCTGGAGAGTTGGTTTTCCAACATCCCAAGAATTGGCAGAAACAAACGAACAATCCGTACTGTACGAAAAATCGAGAGAAGACCAAAAGAGAAAAGACGATGAGTACCTTAAGAATCGTGAGCACAAATGGGATAGGATATAACAATTAATGCTATGTATTAACACTTTTTTAAGTAAAGCAAATCTTTATCATTCAAATTTCAAACTACAAAGCCATGTATTTATTAGTTTCATAGATCTTAATGTATAATATAGTAGCATTAGACAATCTGGACGATTTAAACAATTGTCTCTTTTTTTAAAAAGAAAAGTACCCTCCAATTTGCATCATAAAATATTTATCAATAAAGAGAAAAAAAAATTCAAAGACCGGACACCAATCCTAGCTTTATCGCACCAAATGCGTCATTAATCCATTCTTTTTTTCTGGCACATTCGATAATAACTCTAACGTAAGCTATCCAAACGTCCCAATTCATTCTCTTATCCCAACAAGTCCCCCAATCGAAAAAGATTTTTAAAGCTTTTAATCCTTCTTTCTCTGCTTCTTCGTATTTCTTCAACCTCATATAAATTTGTGCCAGTAATACATGAGGTTCTCCGACAAAAGGGTTAAGCTTAGTACATTCTCTCAATTTCCTCTCTATTTCTGGTATAGCTTCGACGTTATATAAATTATGATGATTCGTAACAACATCCCAGTACAAATCTCTTGATTTAATCAAATCCGAAGGATCAAGCTCAACCGTGCAGTTATCAAACACCGGAGGAATCAATTCAGGATTGTAATCTTTGAGGCACCATCTTACTATTTGGCCTATCCTAGATAAGCCAGCCAACCAAAGACCAGGTTTACAATCACCAGGCCATAATGAAAAATTAAACTTATTTGAAGTTTGATATAATAATTGACCGTCAAAATTTTCAAACAATTCATCTTGCCAGCTAAATAGTTGATCGGAAAAATCCGCCATTGTAAAAACTAAAAAAATTGCAATAGTAAATTTGTTTAGAAGTATTGGTTCATCATTATTAATATTTCGAACTGTAATTCCTTCGTCTGGTATAACAAGTTTTAACTTTTCATCATCAATTTTCTTTGATTTTAATTGACCCAAGATTTTGTTATAGATTAAATCATGTCTTGGAATAATACAGAATAAATGTGCAAGTTTTTCAGCTTCTTCACCTATTAATGATTGAAGTCTTTTACGTTCATCATCATTTAATTTGAAAATTGCCAAATTCACGTAAGAATTCGAATAAGCAGAGTGGAATAATCCACAATCTAGTAAATATTGAGGTTGATTCCAAATTGTTAAAATTTGATAGACGTGAAATAAATGATCAAAGAATGTTGATTTTTTATGCCAACATTCTGAAGAACCAAGTTCTTTTGTTAAAATTTCAAGTAATGTTGGAAGGTTTGAATTAAGTGATGACCAATCTTGACGAAGTAATAATTTGATTTTTGGTGGAATTTCTAATGTATCTGACATCTTTTTGTTTTTAAGAAAAAAAGAGAAAGGGAAGTTTACTTAAATTTATTCGCTATATATAGCGATAGTAATAAATCAGGATATGATGTGTAATGACGTGATATCAGTATAACAGTAATAATTGTGACATATTACTGTATTAAAATGAAATCAGATTAAAACTACGAAGAATAAACAAAAAAGAACTATATAGAAATTTATCAGGGTTGTAGGACTCTACTATTAAAAAATAATTAAAATCCCTTTTTGTTTTAGAGAAGTTAGCATGGTAATAACCCACTTTTATCTATCTTTAAGTCGCTATTATGCTAACTTCTTTAAAGCAAAAAGGGATTTTGATTATTTTTAATAGTGGAGTCCTACAACCCTAATAAAACTTTCTATATACTTATTTTTTATTTATTCTTCATAGTTTTATTTTTTTTAAAGGGTACTTTAAACTGTATAAATAATATAAAATTAAATTGATTTAAACACCCAATCATATGAAAGTCTTCCTATGACTCAGGAACTATACCGACAGACTTTCACTGATCGACAATTTTTTTAAAGTCATAAAACGGTACATTAGGTTCAGGTTTATAATTATAACGATACTTTTCTTATACTAAAATTTTACCTTAACTTATACTAAAATTTTACCTTAACTTATACTAAAATTTTACCTTAACTTAGTGTTTGGAACCGGTTTTATTTTTCTTATGTTAAAACCGGTTTTAATCGGATTTAACATAAGAAAAATAAAACC